GGGGCCGCCCGCGCTGGCACTGACGCGAGCGCGCTGCACGTGCCGCTGCCGCCGGACGAGAGGGTCGTGGCGATGCGGCGCGCGCACAGGCGCGTCGCCACGGCGCTCCAGCGCGCGCAGGCCCAGACGGCCCTGCGCGCGGCGCAGCTGGGCGCGGGCGCATTGGGTTAGCAGGGCCCCGAGTGGGTGGCGGCGCGTTGGTGGGCGTCGACGGCGCGCGGCGCGGGGGCAGAGGCGACGGCCACGCGGGACGGCAGCCACGCAGGGGGGCCCGCCGAGCCCGCACCGGGGCAGACGCGGCAGCATGCAGCGCTGGGGGCCGCCACGGGTGGGTGGCGCCGGGCTCGGCGGCCTCCGCGGCGCCCCGAGGGGCGCGCCCGGCGGCCCGGACGGCCCCGCGGGGGCGGCCCCAGCAGGGGGCTGGAGTGCTTCTGGGTCGCCGCGCCCTCCGCCCAGAATCCTGGCCCCGGCGCCTGGGGCGGCCCTGGCCGCCCACCTGGGTGTAGCCGTCCGTGTTGGGACATCTGGCCCTGTCGCGCTCGCCGCGCTCGCCCCTCTTCCGCTGATACCTCATTTGGGCGACCGCCTGGTCAGCCTTCGGGTCCTCGGTGGGCCTGTAATTCGCCTTAGGTCAGGCATGTCCTCCTACAGACGGATTTTGGAGGAAAAAAATCATAAATTCGTTCCCTGACCATTATTTTTACTGCTTTTGACTGTTCCTCCTGTAGATGGGCATGCCCGACTTAGTGATAGCCTGTCATCAGCACTTACCGCACTGGTGCCCCCACCTGCGGCGCCTGTGACCACCCCGGCGGCGGCACGGCGCACGACCGGGACGCCTGCGATGGGCTGGAGGAGGTCCACGGCCTTAAGGCCCTGGCTGGCGCACCCCCTCTTCCCTGGGGACGAACACCGCTGAGCGGGGCACTGTTCCTGGCTAGGGGCGTGGCGCCAGCTCCCGATCAAAGTGCGCGGGCGGACGTGTCCGCAGCAGGAGGGACGGAGGCAGGGAAGGAGACGCGAGGGAGGAGGTGGAGGAGGGGGAGGAGGAGGAAGAAAGAAGAAGGAAGAAGAAAAAAGAAAGAAGGAAGAAGGAGTACGAATATAATGATAATCGTAGAAATTGAAAATAACAGTACTCATACTAATACCCGTGATAATGGGAATACTAATAGCGATGATGATGATGATAATGCGAACGATAATATTAATGAGAATAATAATGACCGTAAGGATGATAAAATAATACTACGAATGATATATCACTAACAATAAGAATAACAGCCATAAAAATGTGAACCATGATAATAACGACAATAAACCTTAGCATCATAATACTCATACCACTTGATGGAAATGATAATACGAATACTAAGAATAATACCAACAATCCCAATCATATCAATAATATGATGATACTACAAATACTAAGAATACGATTACTAATAATAAGAATGATAATAATAATAATAAAAGAAGAAGAAGAAGAGTAATAACAAAAGTCATAATAGTGACACTAAAAATAATCATAATGACCATAACAACAACAAGACGAAGAAGCAGCAGTAGCAGAAACAGGAGCGGAAGCAGAAGAAAAGAAAAAGGGAGGAAGGATGGGGGAAGAAGGGAGGGAGGGGAGGAACGGAGGGAGGGAGGGAGAGAGAAGGGAGGCAGGGATGAAGAAGGAGGGAGGACGGGATGAAGAAGGAGGAGGAGGAGGAGGAGGAGGAGGAGGAGGAGGGCACGGGCGGGCGACTGCAGGCTAGACTCCCGGAGGCACCAGGGCGCAGATAGGACAGGGCAGCGACGAGGAGCCGAAGAAAGCACTGCCCCGAGAGCGGCCACAGCGCCAGGGGCCCCCCTCGCCGAGGCCAAGCACGACGCCTCCGCTCGAGGCCCCCACCCCGACGCCGGCCTCGGGCCGAGCCCGGCAGGGAGGGGGGGAGCGGAGGCGTCGGGCGGGCCTGGGCCACGCCGGTGCCTGGAGCGCCCCCCCGGGCCTCCAGCTCGCCCAGAGAGGCGCACCCCCACGGCGAGAGGCGGGGGCGGGGCAGGCACTCCCGCACCGGGTCGTCGAGGGGAGGGGGGGCGGGAGGAGGAGTGAAGGGGCCCAGGGACACACAAATGAATAGGCACAAATAAAAGGATTCCCCATATTTTCCCATACTTCTGGGTTTTTGTCTTCCCCCCCACTTCTCATATTTTCGCATATGTTCTGGGGAATCGACGATTAATTGTGTCTGTGTGTTTTTTCCCTCCTGAAGGAGGCGCAGCGGGAGGGAGAGGACGGGGAAAGGGAAGACGTGTAATGCTCTTCTGGGCTGCACGTCGGAACTTGGCAGCCCAAGCGGACGATGCATGACACTGTGGAGTGCGCGGGTCGAGTGCGCCACCCAGAAAGAGCCACGGCCGGGTTCGGCGCTGGGCTTCATCTACGCCAGAATTCGGCATCCCACCAGCGGCAAGTCGTTTCGCAATGGGCTCCGTCGCACCGCAATGCAGGCGGGGAGTTAGATCCCCCAGAGAGCTCGTGGCGCTGCCGAAGCCGAAACCATACCATCCATGCAAGAATGCAAACTCATGCCGATGCTGACGCCGTAGATCCCGTCTTGCCGCGCCCTTGTCTGCATACCGCCCGCAGTCGACTCTCGCCACCACATCTGCCTTCGACTGCACTCTCGATAACTTCCATGTGACGAGGTTGTCGGGGAGGAGAGGTGGGTGTGCGGGGGGGGGGGAATGGAGAGGATGCAGAGCAAGAGCAGGAAGGAAGAGGCGGAGGTGTCCAGGAGGACTTTGGACGGTCAGGCCAGTTTGGGCTTGTCGACGGGGTACTGTCGGGGCATGGGGAGGGAGCGGCAGGCGGGGGCAGAGAAGGGGTAGGAAGGGAGAGGGAGGAGGCAGGGGAGTCTAGGAGCAGTCGACAGGGTTCTGTGGGGTAGCAGCGAGAACGAAGAGGAAGAGGCGAAGGTGCACGCGGAGGCGGAGAAGGAGGAGGAGAACACCTTTTAAGGGAGACTACGTAGATGGTCGTGGGGATCCTGCCTGAAGATATAGGGAAGCTCGAATGAAGAGCAGCAGCAGCAGCAGCACGAGAAGCGAGAACCGTGGGGAGGTGTGGCAGCAGGATAAAGGAGGACATCCCCATCCACATCATCCACATCCGCCCCTGCCTCCTCTTCCTCCTCATCGTGTTGCTCCTCATCCTCATCGTCGGCCTCCGCCTCTTGCTCCTCCTCCTCCTCCGCCTCCTCCTCTTCCTCCTCTTCCTCCTCCTCCTCCTCCTTCTCCTCCTCCTCACCAACACAGATCACCATCATCACCATCATAGCTCGGGTAGCCCCCAGGGTACCGCAGCACCACCGCGTAGAGGTCCGCCGGGCCCTGGTTGGAATCGAGCCACACGACCGAGGGCGCCTTTGGAGCTGCAGCGCCGCGGCCCCGAAGGAAGACCCGCTGGTCAGCGCGGGGGGTCCTCCTCCTCCTCCTCCTCCTCCTCCTCCTCCTCCTCCTCCTCCTCCTCCTCCTCCTCCTCCTCCTCCTCCTCCTCCTCCTCCTCCTCCTCCTCCTCCTCCTCCTCCTCTCCTCCTCCTCTCCTCCTCCTCCTCCTCCTCCTCCTCCTCCTCTCCTCCTCCTCCTCCTCCTCCTCCTCCTCCTCCTCCCTCCTCCTCGGGGGAGGCGAATATCTTCAGAATGTTGCAGCACTGCCACCCGATGAGGGGCAGACGGTTCTCAAAGCGGCGCTGTATAGCTGGAAGGATCCTCCAGCTTCAGCATCCTGCCTTGCTGCGCTCATTCGGACACGTAGAGGGATGGAGGAGGAGAAGGAGGAGGAGGAGGAGGAGGAGGAGGAGGAGGAGGGAGGAGGGAGAGGGAGGAGGAGGGGGGAGGAGGAGGAGAGAGGAAGGAGGAGGAGGAGGAGGAGAGAGAGGAGAGGAGGATGGGGGGTGGATCCTCGACAACACGGGGTCTCACTGGAGCAGGCAGGCCCACCGGGCACCCGCCATTTCACGGGGGGCCTCCCCGCAGTGAGAAGGGATGCGTGCAGGGGCTGCCGAGGTGGAGACCTGGGCCTTGGGACGGGGGGGTGTACTACAGCCTCGTTGGCGCATCCTGAGTTTACTCCTCCTCCTCCTCCTCCTCCTCCTCCTCCTCCTCCTCCTCCTCCTCCTCTCCTCCTCCTCCTCCTCCTCCTCCTCCTCCTCCTCCTCCTCCTCCTCCTCCTCGTTATCCAGCCTCTTTCCCCTTCCCCTTCTCTTTCGCTTTTCAGCGCACTGTTTGGGGGAGAGGGGGGCAGGGAAGGGCGAGGAACACGCGAGCCACCGCATTCTCCAGAATCCGCATGCCGAGTGCACGCAGCCTTCCCCAGCCCACCAGGCCCGATACAAAACCCCTGGACTCGGGCATCTAGGCCAATGCCTTCTCCTTCTCCCGTCGCTAGACGAGCGCGTTCTACTACTCGCAAAGTAGCTACTCGCAAATGGTCTGGGTCCGCCAGGGGGATCTACGATAAATGACATCAAAGCAGACATATTATTTTCGGACGTTTGCGAGTAGGCACTTTGCGATTAGTGGAACGCGCTCGGTGTGTCGCAGACTTCCTCCGTCTCCTCCGGCAACGTCGACAGCGACGACGAGGGCGGGGGGGCAGCACCATGCGCCCAGAGGGCCCCCTGAGCTTCACCACGGCCAGCCACCAGTGGCGCACCGAGCTGACGGTGACCGAGTTGACCGGCAGCAGCAAATACCTTCGAGCATTGGGGAGGGAGGGGATGAAGGGCCGAGGCTCGATGTCGAAGTGTCGAGCTGGCGTTTGTTAATTACCCAGACATGCGACGTCCTGATTTTTTCAGGACGGCGTCCCCAGAAGTCCCGACCCTTTCCCGGGGGCCGGTTGTCCATCCTGAATCGTTTGTCGACGCTCGAGGGGACCAGCGAGGGCCCCCAGGGGCCGAAAATAGCGAAAAAAACGCCCGTCCCGATTTCTTTACGACGCAATCATGTCTGGGTACACGTCTGCCCTACTTAAGACTGCAGATGCATCGGAAGCTCCCCAGAAGCATCCCGGGACGTCTGGGCCCAGGGACACCAGAGACCAGAGACCCCTGGGGACCTCCAGAGACGCCCTCGCACCCAGACCCCCGCGCGTCTCGGCAGAACCCGTGCTGGAGGTCTTTCGCACTTCTGTCGGGTGTTGCTAGACATGCTCCTGGCCCAAGGTGCCCCCAGGATTTCCCAGGATACCCCCGCGGCCTCCAGAGCAACCCTCACAAGGCCCAGAGGGCCCCAGGGGCTCCAGAATGGAGCGCAGAGCTGGGGGCACCTTGGGCCAGGGGCACCTCCAGCAACCCCCGATTCTGGGCGCCCGGGAGGCCGCCGTCAGACCCTGGGGCAGACGCAGGAACGGCCCGGGGCTCTGGATGAAGAGCTGGTTGGTCGCGGGGATGGGGTCGAAAAAGTCCAGGGTAATTTTCCGCCTGGGAACCCCCAGCGCAAACGGCGTTCTCGGGAGTAGCGGGGGGGGTACCCCCGCCAAGAAGGTCGTCGTTTTCCAAATCGAATCTCTTATTGGGGAGCCTTTTTCTCGCGGCTGGGTTCCCCAGGCCAATCTCGGGAGCGCCCCAAGGGGTTTTCACTCCAGAACCGTTCCAGGGTGTGTCCACATCTGGGGCCCCCCGGTGCAGAGGGCGCTCTTCGGGGATACGCAGGGGGGGGACCCCAGCCCAAAGAATCCCCATTGTCCACAGGACATCAGATCTCTCTTTGGGGAGCCTTTTCTCGCGACTAGGCTCCCATGCCCAATCTCGGGAGCTCCCAGGTGGACTTTCACCCCGGAACCGTTCCAGGGTGTTTTTCAATCTGGACACCCCCACTACAGAGGGCGCTCCCGGGGACACGCCGAGGGGCGTACCCGAGCCCAAAAAATCTCGTCATTTTCGGAATGGAACCTCTCGTTGGGAAGACTTTTCTCGCGGCTGAGCTCTCCAGCCCAATCACGGAAGCGCCCCAATTGGGCTTTCACCCTGGAGCTGTTCCAGAGTGTTTTTCCCGCCTGGGACCCCCCCCAATGCAGAAGGCGCCTTCGGGGATAAGCTGGGGGGGGGGCACCCGAGCCCCCAAAGTCGTCGCTTCCCAAATAGAAATCCTCTTACCGGGGAGCCTTTTCTCGCGGCTGGGCTCCTCCAGCCCAGTCTCGGGAGCTCCCCAGTCCCTCCGCAGTGAACTCTGCACGCAGCCGAAATAAGGCCTTTTGTAAGGAAGCCAATCATGCCTTCGGTAAGAAGACTCATAAGCTCTTGTGCAAGCAGCCCAGTAAGGCCTTCTGCAAGGAGCCCAACAGTGCCTTCCCAGAAGGCCTTTTGCAAAGAGCCCGACACGGCCTTCTGCAAGGAGCCCAGTAAAGCGTTCTGTAAGGATCTCAACCTCACGGAGCCCAACAAGGTCGTCTGTACGGAGCGTAATACAAAGCCTTCTGCAAGAAGTCCGCTAAGGCCTTGTGTACAGTCTCCACAAGAGGTTCCAGATGAATTTTCATCCTGGAGCCGTTCCAGGGTGTTTCTGGAATTGGAAACAGTGAATGCCAGGGTGTCTGAACCCCGGAACCGGTCCAAGTGATTCTGGAACCTGAAACGGGCCAATCTGGGGGGACAGAACCTACGAAGGAGCCAGTGAGGAGGAGGAGGAGGAGGAGGAGGAGGAGGGGAAGGAGGAGGAGGAGGAGGAGCGAGAGCGAGCGAGATCGAGCGAGCGAGACGCGCTCTGCCGGCTGGCCCGCCCGCCCGGAGCGGGGCGCGCGGCGGGACCTCAGCCCCGAATTCCTCGCAAGTCTCACATATAGCCACCTCGGTTCTCACAAAACAGGCCCCCCAAATAGCCACCCTTCTTCATCATAACAGAAGTACAACTTCTTGAACCCACCAACTTCTCGATTCTCGCACGAAGGCCAACGGTTCGGAGTTCTCACGACACACAACACGCATCATAACACAGCTGTAAATGACCGCGCCACGTCAGCCCATCGCCTCCGAGGCCCGCTGGGTCTTCTGACGTTCCCACACGGGCCCCACAAAAACACTCGAGGTGCCCACGATGATTCGCCGGCTTCCATTTTTGTTAGCCATCTGCTGGTTGCTTCGTCGCGCGCAGCAATCCAATCGCGGATGTCCAGCTTCCGGGCTCTCTCTTCAGCCTCCCTGGTGGCACGTTTAATCCATTCCACTCACGGTTCCAGAATAGTTTCTTCTTCATGGTCACTACCTGGCAACATGTCGCTGTTGCGTGCTGACGATGTGCCCTCATCCTTGCCCCAGCTTGTGATCCTCCTTTGCGTCCCAACAGTCATGCGGACCATCTTCCTCTTCGTGCGTTTTAATGTGTTCGCCAGCTCTTGACTCAACACCCACACTTCGCATCCGTACAGAAGAGTCGCCGTGACTGTACTGTCAGATAAACGCACTCTCGAAGACAATGGGTACTTTTGGTTCGTGAATTCGTCCGGGATGCATATGAATCGTTTCCATGCTGCATTTACCCTAGGGTCAAGATCAACGTTGTGCGGGTGGTCGAAGCAGATCATCCGGCCAAAACACTTCATCGCCGCATCGCGCGGCACCACTTCGGTGGTCGGATCTCCACCTTGTACGTGACGGCGGGCACCCAATTTCTCGGGTGGTGATGCTGAGGATCTTGGTTTTATCCGTGTGAAGGCCCAAGCCCATCTGGGAAGACGCACGCCGAACGTCCTCAAGTATTCCTCTTACCTGCCGCAGCGTTGCACCAACCAGCAAAACATCATCAGCAAATCGCATGTTCGTCAGCGTCCATTCGGACGTTGCGCCAAGATGAACACCCCATTGTGTTTTTGATCCACTGCGTCTTCACGTCTGTGATATGTCTTCCAGTGCTGCGTTGAAAAGTAAGCTACTCAGAGGGTCCAGCTTTGCTCTGTGCCCCTCAAAATGTCAAACGGCTTGCTCAGCTTGCCTGTGCGTGCTCTCGCCGTTTGCCCGCGGTATATGTTCAATAGCTTTGTATACCCGCCCAGAACCCCTTGCTTAGCAAACATGCTATCGTGCTCCACTGAGGAGGAGGAGGAGGAGGAGGAGGAGGAGGAGGAGGAAGAGGAGGAGAAGGAGGAGGAGGAGGGGCAGGAGGAAGAGGAGGGAGCGAATCAGAGTCGCCAAGCAGACCAGGAACGCCTCAAGAGCCGACCTGCAGCAGGCAAACTCGTGCAGAGGAGCTTGGCCTGGGAGAGAGACACCTGGGAATCCTGCAGAAAGAATCGGCGGTGGACAAACCTCCCTTTAGTAAACCTCCCCTTAGTGAAAACGGCCTGGGACCGAAACCGACGGACCTGGACCCGCAAAAATGACGGCCGCGACGCCCTCGCGCGAACCGAAGACGGCCAATTCCTTACTCGACGTGTCAGGGTAGGAGGTCGATCCACCTCCGAAGGAAGTGCTGTGAGCTCCGATGTCGCTGGCGTGCGGCCCCGCCCAGGGCGACGGTGGCGCCGCGAGCTGATGCTGGGGCCGTCCCCGACGCCCTCACCAGGACAGGGAGAGGGAGAGGGAGGAAGAGGGGAGAGAAAGGGGAGGGAGAGGGAGAGGAGGGGGAGGAGAAAGGGAAGGAAGGGCAGAGAAAGGGGAGGAAGAGGGGAGAGAAAGGGGAGGAAAGAGGAAGACGGGAGAAAAAGGGGAGGAAGAGGGGAGAGAAAGGGAGAGGAGGAGAGGGAGAGGGAGGAAGCGGGGAGAGAAAGGGGGAAGGGGCCGAGCCGGCCAATGCACACCTTCTTCCTCGGCGGCGAGGCAGGGGCAATCCGCACCAGCGCGGGGGCCGATCGGGGCAACCGACCGGCAAACCGTCCGGCGCGCAGGAGGGAAAGGCCAAGAGGAGAGCGGCCGCGCGGGGGACGGATGGGGGAGGGCGCCCCCACGCGGAAGACTCCCGCGGTGAGCGCGGCCGAGTCGGCCACGCGCGCGCCGGAGCGACGGACGCGCGGAGCGCGCCCTCCAGAGGCCGCGGGAAGGCCGAGCCCGGGCGCGCGGGCCCGCACACGGAGCGGGGTTTTTGGGGCCCCACGCGGCCGTCGGCCCAGGCCTCGGGCGTGCGGCGGCCGGTCGGGGGCAGCTGGCCGACCTGGGAGGAGGGCGCTCGACGAGCTCTTTGCCGCCGGCGGCGAGGCGGAGGCGGTCCGCCCCAGCGTGTGGCTGTTCGGGGCAAGCGCAGGGCGAGTTGGCCGGAGTGCGAGAGGGAGGGGGGAAGAGGAGGAGAGCGGCCGCGCGGGGGGAGGGGGAAGGGAGAGCGCTCAGGGATCGCCACACACACGACGTGAGCCACAGCGGAACGCCAAAAACTGGAGGAGCCGCCAGAGACGAGAAAGGGCGACGGCACACGAGGGCTGTCGAACATGGTTCCCACTGGTGCCAGGCTACTCCTTTCCAGCGAGACGACCAGCACGCACGTCTCTCCCCAGACGACCTGATTGTGAAGAGCGCCTAGAAGGAGCATGCATTCAGCATCGGCGAGGGCAGCTCCTGGAGGAGGAGGAGGAGGAGGAGGAGGAGGAGGAGGAGGAGGAGGAGGAGGAGGAGGAGGAGGAGGAGGAGGAGGAGAGGAGAGGAGGAGGAGGGAGGTGGTGGAGGAGGAGGAGGAGGAGGAGGAGGGGGAGGAGGAGGAGGAGGAGAGGAGGAGGAGGAGGAGGAGGAGGAGGAGGATTGACTCTACAGATCCGGCAGTGCCGTCCTCGATGAAAAAATGAGGGAGGCGAGAACGAGGACGAGGTGGAGGAGGCGCCTGTACGAGAAAAGCGCGACGCGCTTCGTCCACCCTTTCACGTTCTCCCAGCCTCGGTGGGAACTGGGCGCAGGCGGGCAAGGAGGGCGGGCACGGGGAGTGGAAGGAGGACGGGGGGAATGGGAAGGGCGAAGGGTGAGAGAGAGAGAGGGAGGGGCGAGAGGGAAGAGAGAGGGAGAGCACCCCGGCAGTGGCTCTCCCAAGCAGGAGGGCCGTTGCTAAGGCTCCGCCTCCTCCTCCTCCTCCTCCTCCTCCTCCCCCTCCTCCTCCTCCCCTCCCCTCCTCCTCCTCCTCCTCCTCCTCCTCCTCCTCCTCCTCCTCCTCCTCCTCCTCCTCCTCTCCTCCTCCTCCTCCTCCTCCTCCTCCTCCTCTCCCTCCCCCCGCCGGGGGGAGAGGGAGGCCGAGGGGGGAGGAGGCGGGGACGGGGAGGCGGACGGGGAGGCGCACGCACGGAGGCGAGCGTCCGACTGGCGTGGTGCACTGCTGGCGCCGTCCACGACGGAGGCGTGCATCTGGCGGGTGTCACAGTCAACCCGCAGAGTAAGGATGCGCGATAAGGATGCAAGGCCCTTGGGAGCCCATCTCGAAGCGTTTCGAGCGGGGCGCGGCCCACGAGAGTGTCCAAGAATGGACCCAGGAAGCAAGGATGCAAGGGTAGCCTTGGGAGGGATGCCTATCCTTACTCTGCGGGTCGACTGCATACTGCTGGCATCGTCCGCGAGGAGGAGCAGTGGGAGGGGAAGGGGGGAGGCGGCAGGTAGGCGAAGCCAAAAGGTCATGCATCTGGATGTGCGCAAGACGCTCAGCTGACAAGTGGAGCTTCTTAGCCGAAAGATGCCTGGCTGGGCGTACAGGAGGCCACCGGAAATTCTCGCTGGCCAGAGATCAGGATGACTTGGCTCCGCTAGTTGCCGAGAAAAGGGGAGGATGAGCGAGAGAAGTAGGGGGCAGTGGCAGCGGGACAGGGAGAGAGAGCGGGAGGACGAGGGAGAGGGAAAGGGGAAGGAGGGAGGGGGAGGAGAGGGAGGGACAAGAGGCGAGTAGGATGGACGGGAACGTGGACGGGGTGTATGGACATGGGCGGGCCAGCGGCTGGGGGGGGCGAGTAAGGGCAAGGGGCAAGTGCCCAAAATGAGTATACACTTTGCTAAATCGGGAAGCCCCTCTGATACATCGATGACAGAAATAGCGAACGCGACTCACTATGGGCATGGACAGCCATCCCATTGACAGCGACGGATGGCGACCGCAGACACGGAATGATTGGCGGCATGTACGCAAAGCCCGCGCCCTCGCGGTTCAACTAGCGGCGCTCCGCTCCACGGGAGGTAATTGTCTGCGCTTGCGTTTACAATGGATGGGAAGAGGGATCGAATATGTTTAGTGTGCTTCAAAGTTGCTTCAAAGTTGCAGGCTATCGCTTTCACCCTGGCAAGGCTACATCGAACGAGAGACATGTCACGAGCAATGTGCATGTGAGCTCTAGGCTGGCGTGCGGGAGCGCGTGTTGTCCTACGCACGTGCGTAAAATCCCAGATCATGCCCACACCATGACCAGAGTCGACCCCGTGTGAAACAAAAGGCGTGCATTGCTCCCCAATCAGTGCTTGCACTGAAAGGGTCCTCGCGGATGTTGAAGGATTTGGCGAAAGTGCCCCGCCGATTTTGGTCGCACGCTGGGTTCCTGGGTTCTCGGTTCCGGGTTCCAGGGTTCCCGGTTCCGGCCCGTTTTCGGATGGCGGCGAGGTTCCCAGGTTCCCGGGTTCCTGGTCGATCTTCTTATCGATCAGTCTCACCATCGATCTCATTACCCACTTCTCTATCGATCTCACCATCGATCTCCCAATCGATCTCACTATCGATCTCATTATCGATCTCACTAGAGATCGCATGAGCGATCTCGCGATCGATCTCACTATCGATCTCATTGAAATTATGTCACTCTCGGTCTCACGATCGACCTTACAGTCGTCCTCACTATCGGATCCACTATCGATCTCATTATCGATCTCGCAATCGATCTCAAGATCCAGAGTATCAATTTCAGATCATCCACTGATTGCAGTTTTCTCAGGTGTAATGTTTCTTCGTTGGGCGGGGTTGGGGGTAGCGGTGGTGGGGGGAGGGCGCAGTGACGGCGATGGAGACACGTGTTGCAGGAGTGTGCAGGACGTGAGAGGTTGGGGGCGGGAGGAGGGCAGGAGTCGAGTAGGAGACCGACTACAGAATTGATTGACCCCAGAATTCGTTTGCCCGTCGAACCTATGAGAAACGCGCAGACTGTTCGTAGATCGACGAACATGCTACGCATGACTCGACGAGAAGACCATGCTTGGGGTACAGTCGGGGCGTCGACCTAAGGAACCCTAAATAAGGAACGAGGTCCCTTTTTTCCATAAGTTAACCTTCGATTTCCTATCGAAAACCAAAGGAAAACCTGAGGCAAGCTGCGAAACACTTAAGGAACGCGGAGCCCCTCCCCAACGAAGAGGGTTCCTTCTTCAGGGCCCCGACTGTAAATCAATTCTGTAGTTGATCCCCCGCTCGAAGGAGAGGCGGAGCGCAGAGACGAGGAGGGGGGGCCGCGGGGGAAAGGGAGAGGGGAAGGGGGAGCGGAAGGGAGCCCAGTGGAGGGGGGGAGGGATACGCAGGAGGGGGAGGAGGAGGGGAAGGGGGGGAAGAGGGGGAGCGGGGGGGGGGGGGGGGGGGGGGGAAGGGGGGAAGGGGAAGGGGGAAGGGAGGGGGGGGGGGAGGAGGAGGAGGAGAAGGAGGAGGAGGAGGAGAGGAGGAGGAGGAGGAGGAGGGAGGAGGAGGAGGAGGAGGAGGGAGGAGGAGGAGGAGGAGGAGGAGGGGAGGAGGGGAGGGGAGGGGGAGTCGAGGGCGAGGGGAGCACAGGAAGACCACAGGGGAGCCACGCGGGAGGGCGAGCCCCGCCGCCAGAGAGACCGGGCGGCTGGGGCCGGGGCCCTCGTCGCCGCTCGCGGCGCCGAAGGCCATGAGCTGCGTGAAGAAGAGGCTGGAGAACACGTACCTCGTGTTGTGATGTTCCAAGGTCTTGCGCGAGGTGGCGCGGCGACCTGACGCCGCGGCTTACGTGGGCTGCGAGCGCGGCGCGCTGCCTTGGAAGCGAAGGCGCTCACGCGCGACCTCATGCGGGCAGCATGCGCTCCAATGTCGGCGCAGCCGATTCCGTTTTTGTTGCGCTTCGCACCTGGAGTTATGATGTTCCAACCTACTGTAGCCGCGACCACCAGAAAGAATCTCGAGCACCGAAAAAGTACCGAACCTGGGGGGTTTTCGCGTGTCGGGCCCTGGGAGGCGATACTCGTTCGACACTGTTTCGATACTTTCCGGGGTGCTCGAAATTATTTCTGGGATGTGGTCCTCACGTACGATGGGCGCAACATAAACCTCGTGTGGGTGTGGGCGCGAGCGCGCCCGCTTGCGCCGTCCGTGCGCTCCCACCCACCTCCCCCCTCCCTGCCCCCGACGCGCCCCGCGAGGGCGGAGTGGATGGAGTGGAGGGAGGGCTGGCCCCTGAGTGGGGCGGCGCCTCCCCCTCCAGAGCGCCCGCGGGGGCAGCGGGGGGCGCGCGCGGGCGGCGGGGGGGGGGTCCCGGGGGAGGAAGATTCTGTCAAAGGCCAGGCTAACGGCGATGTTGCTTGACGGTGATGTTGGGAACCACCGTGCAGGAACTCACGAGCCGCACTGTCCTGCGTCTCCAGATGTGCGAGTGGGTCGAGCGAGCGAGTGCCGTGGTAGGAGAGCGCGAGCCACGCGCTCCCACACTGCCGAAACCTACACCCTGCGAAATGCTTAAGAAATCATGGGTTAAGAAATTCATAGTCTCAGAATTTGAATAAAAAACCACAATTTCCATTACAATCTTAAGATTTACATTGAAACGTTAAGAATAATCGAGACTCTGGCCGAAAACTTAAGTTTTCTTAAGCATCGCCTAAGGTGTACATCGCCGCTACCTACATCGGCGTTCGTCCGTCTGCGGAGATCTTTTCCAGCGGCGAAGAAGCCACGATTCAAGAGCACAGCGGGTCACCACGGCAGGGCTGCGCCGCCACGCGCAATGGAGGAGCGCGAGAGAGCACGACCCTCGTGAGAGGCTCGCTGGACTGTGGCCGGCGCGCCTGTGCAACGGGCGAACTCGCCATCGACGAGATCGTCATCAACGCCACCACCCCCATCATCCCCACACCCACACGATCATCATACGATTCGTACTCGTCCTCGAAGTCCACCTTGTTATCATTATGACCCTCATAGCCAGCATCATCCTCGTGGTCATCATCAGCATCATCGTCACCAGCATCCTCATCAACATCACTCCCCCATCATCAGCATCATTGACATCATCAAGATTGTCGATGCCGTCGTCCGACATTGCACTCCCGGTACTCCCCCGTTGCCCGCCCTCTTCATCCTCATATGTTGCCTCTTCCTTCCAATCCTCTTGCGCCTCGTCCTCCTCCTCCTCCTCCTCGTCCAATTCCTCGTCAACCTCCGCCACCTGCTGCTCCCCCTCCTACTCCGAGAGCGTATAGTTAGTTATCCTGATGTTCCTCATCCTGCTTCCCAGATCCTCTTGTCAACATCTCCTCAAAGTGTGCCGAGGCGAAAAAATGCGAAGAACTCAATACGGGAAGTCCGCAACCAAACCAGGATGAAACATGATTAAGAGGAATCACCCCCGAACGATAGCAAAGAGAGAGAGAGAGAGAGAGTGTGCTTCGGACGCTCAGACACATAAAACCACCTGCACATAATTCGAAGCAGTGGATAAAAAGGAAACCGCAGTAAACCAAAGGGGCGGCTACAAGCATAAATAATATGAGGGATGATCCGCATGTTGGGCTGGGTGGCTTGCGTTTGATGTTTCAGGTTTGGGCTTCGGTTCGCGCTACATGCTCATACAATGTCCATACACTACGAGCACAATGATACTGCACTGCCCATAAAGTGGTGACACAGTACTAATGTCAAACTCGTACAAGCCTTTTCGCAATCATGTACAAATACGAAATATGACGAAATGCGGCTGCAACGCGGACAAAACACGAATGTTACACGCTGACAGTTGCAAACCAATAAACACCACATGACTGCACAGGGGCTGCAATACTATTACAATACTCTCACACACACACACTACCGCAATACAAACGCTCTGCTAACAAAATACGAAACGACAAGATCCATGACGGCCTAGGAGCGCTCCAAGGGACCCCGAGACCGTCCGAGACCGTTCCGAGACGGCCCATAAGATAGCCTCAAGACGGTCCCAGCGGGCCCTGAGACGCCCCAAGAGGGCTCCAAGAGGCTTTCCCAGAGGGCTCCGAGAGGCAAATTCCATTAAGTTTGAATGCTTGTTCAAGATTTGTTGGGTTCTCGCCTTCTCGGGCCAAGAACGGCCCACAACGGCCCAAGAGGCTCCAAGAGGGCCCCAAGGATCGTCCCAAGACGGCACAAGAGGCCCCCAAGAGGGCCAGAAGACGGACCAGGAGGGCCCCAAGACGAGCCAAGAGGGCCCCCAAACGGCCCAAGAGGGCCCCAAGACGGCCCTAAGAGAGCCCCAAGAGGGCTCCAAGAGGCTCCCAAGAGGGCCCCAAGAGAGCCCCTAAAGGGCCAAAGGCCTCCAAGAGACCCCAAGACCGCCCCAAAGGGCCCAAAGACGGCCCAAGAGGGCCCCCCTAACGGCCCCAGAGAGACCCCCAAAGACCCCAAGAAGCCTCAGAGACGCCAAGTAACACCATGGCTCCCAACAGCGAGTGGTGACGTAACAAGCTCTTAACACCACGGCTCCCCGAAACGCGGTGACGCAAAAAGCGCTTAACAGAAAGGCACCCAAGAGCGAACGGCAACGTAAAAGTCTCTGAACACCAGGGTTCCCAACAGAGAGTGGTGACGCAACAGGCTCTTCACCGCAAGGCCCCCTGGAGCGAAGAGTGCCGTGAGCCATCTCGGGCAAGTTCCTGCAGCGCTCTTTCCGTCCCCGTGCCGGCCCAGGTGCCGGAGAGAGCGAGGTACGAGTGATGTACGTTGAGCTGTGGCGGAGCCCTCTAGGGAGGAGGAGGAGGAGGAGGAGGAGGAGGAGGAGGAGGAGGAGGAGGAGGGGCAGGGGGAGGAGGAGGAGGAGGAGGAGGAGGAGGAGGAGGAGGAGGAGGAGGAGGAGGAGGAGGAGGAGGAGGGGGAGGGGCGAGGCGCGGAAGACCAGGCGTTAACGGCCGACCCCGCTCCCCCCCCCGAGACGGCCCCAGAGGCGCCCAAGACGGCCCAAGCAGCGCCTAAGAGGGGTCCAAGAGGGCTCCAAGAGAGCAATGGCAAACCAATAAACACCACATGGGGCTGCAGTACTATTACAATACTCTCTCTCACACACACACACACACACTACCGCAATACAAACGCACTGCTAACAAAATACGAAACGACAATATCCATGACGACCTGGGAGCGCTCCAAGGGACCCCGAGACCGTCCAAGACCGTTCCGAGACGGCCAATAAGATGGCCTCAAGACGGCCCCAGCCGGCCCCAAGACGCTCCGAGAGGGCTCCAATAGGCTTTCCCAGAGGGCTCCAAGCAGGACATTTCATTGATTTTCAATGGTTTTGTTCACACTTGTGCGGGTTCTCGCCTTTTCGGGTCCAGAAGGGCCCACGACGGCCCAAGAGGCCCCAAGTATCGTCCTAAGACGGCCTCAGAAGCCCCCCAAAAGGAACGAAAACAGTCCAAGAGACGGCCCAAGAGAGCCCCAGGACGGCCAAAAGAGGGCCCCAAGAGAGCCCCAAGAGGGCCCCGAGAGGCTCCCAAGAGGCCCCGAAGAGGCGGTGTGGGGACTGGGCTGCTTGGGCGTGGGGACTGGGCTGGCCCCAAGACGGCCCAAGAGGGCCCCAAGACGGCCCAAAAGGGCCCCAAGACGGCCCCAAGACGGCCCCAAGAGGGCCCCAAGAGACTCCCGAGAGGGACCGAAGAGGCGGTGTGGGGACGGGGCTGCTTGGGTGTGAGGACTGGGCTGGCCCCAAGACGGTCCAAGAGTCCCAAAGCGGCCCGACGGGCCTCCAAAAGACTCCCAAGAAGCCCCAGAGACGCCAAGTAACACCATGGCTCCCAACAGCGAGCGGTGACGTAACGAGCTCTCAACACCAAGGCTCCTCATAGCGCGGTGACGTATAACATTCTGTACAGCCATGCACCCAAGAGCGAGCGGCAACGCAAAAGTTTGTGAACATCCAATGCGGTCTCGGCCAGTCCAGCCAGCCACCTGGAAAAGGAAGCTCCCAATCGCCAAAAACAAGCGTTTCGCACGAGACATCCTCACAAAATGGAGATGTTGGAGGATACTGTTCACGACGTCATCACGCAATTGAAAATGAAGCTATCGCTGCAGGCGTCCTCAGAAAATGGGCACGGTGCGTGAGCTCGCGAATTGTTCATAGCTTCAACAATAAAGCTCTCGACTGCGACATCCTCAAAACACGGTATGTTGGAAAAGTCGGTCAGTCTCAGACGGCCCCAAAGGCCTCCAAGATTGCCCGAAGACAACGCAAGGGACCCCGAGAGTGCCCCAAGACCGCCCCAAGACGGTCCAAGATGGCCTCCAAGGTGGCTAACACGGCCCAAGATGACCTCCAACAGGGCCAGGATGGTCTCCAACAAGGCCAGGATGGGCCTCGATGCCCTCCAAGACGGCCAAGATGGCCCAGGACGGCCCGAAGACCACCCAGGATGATTCCAAGACGGCCCCAGATGGCCCCAAGAGGCCACGAAGACGCCCCCCAAAAGGCGCCCAGGAGGCACCAACAGGCCCCAGAGAGGCCTCCTCCTCCTCCTCCTTCTCCTCCTCCTCCTCCTCCTCCTCCTCCTCCTCCTCCTCCTCCTCCTCCTCCTCCTCCTCCTCCTCCTCCTCCCCCAAATGTTTCCCCAAGGGTTTCCACAAGGGCGGGGGAAGCGCATAGTCCAATACCTTGGCCAAACTTCGCCACAACGTTTGGCCACATAGGCGCTTCCAAAAGGCAGGGGGCGGCGGTGGTTCGCCGTAGGCGTCTTCGATACACTGCGCTCATGTAGTACACAAAACTTGTAGAGCACACAAGACTGTCAGTATCCGATCTCAAATTCAACCAACCTTTGGTGTAACAACTCCAGGTTTTATGAGAAAGACCTGAGCTTCCTCTGCGCTCGAAGATAGGTTGGCTTGGCCAAAAGAAAAATTGGCTTGGTCACACAGCACTCCATGAGTACTGGCCGAACTGGTGCCAGAGGTTGCTCGCGAGAGTGACGCGGCCGAAGAATGCTGGGACCACGGATGCTGACAAGCCATAAACGGTCAAAGCCTGAGACGTACAGCATCAACTATTTCTTGCAGACGCGCCCCTGATCGGGTTGCCAAGAAAAGAGTGATGGCGCAGAAGACTGAACAGGCACCCCAAACGAACTTCCTGAATAGACAATGCAATTGCAAGTGAGAATTCGAACTTGCATGCCAGAGCTTATCGTACAATAGTGCCCGGACGGTCCCCGTTCCATGAGATCTTATCCGAACCTCTAGTCGGATCCAGCTCTCAAGATGCTTGCAAATTGATCACAGCAGGGGAACAGCGGCAACCGAAGGTTTCTATGAGCAATGACTGGAACTCACGTGTGGCTATGCGCCCACACATTGGATCAACATGCGACACCAGCACCGCTCCCCAAAACAGCCTGGTACCAGTCTGGACCTCCAGGCGGCGGCTTTCCTTGCACCGAGCCCGAAACTGGGGGTGACTTTCGTCTTACCCAGACTCGATCTGGGTGTGGTGATCAGGTAGCCGGTGGACGTTGCCTCAGTCACATTTCCTGGTGGCCCCACGTAGTCGTTCTGAATATCGGGTTCAGGTGGAAGTTCGCTTACGGTTTCCCTCGAGTGCCTGTCGCCTGCCACCAGGGTGGATAGCCTCATCAGCTCCTCTGCAGATTCGGCCTCAACCGAGCTCCACAGGGACACCGAGTTGAGCTGGACCGTGAGCAAGCCCTGACAGCCATGCTTACAGCGTGCCCACCCTCTGGAATATATCTCATGGCAATACGTAAAATCGTACGTGTTCCACCCGGTCTGGCGCTCCTCCATAAGCGCTTTCACAGCCAGGAACTGATCCGGGACCGCGTCGTGAACCCGCCCTCTCACGGCCGTCGTAGCCGCCTGCATCATCGGCAGCTGAGCGAGGCCCAGCGTGCCGCAGTTCGCACAGTGGAAATTCACGTTGATGGACATGGACGGCGCGTTACTTGCAAGCTGAGAGAAGCGCAGTAGCCTCGCCCGTCGCAACGCACCACTGCTTGACCAGCAACGTCTGAGGCACACCGCGCCCAAAACAATTAGGCACTGTGTGCCTCCGTGCCCAAATGGCTGCGGACTCGAGCAGCACCCAAAATGGCAAAAAGACGGGCCGAAGGGTCAGGTCACGCAAGGTTGCGGCAGGATCCTGCCGTGACGGCATGGGCTCTGGCTCCTGTCATCGCGTGGGTCCTTCGGATACCTGACGATATCCAGCGGGTAAGGTCCCCCGAGGCCGTCGGTGATCTTCAGACTTGAACGCCGGCGCCCGCGCTGCCGCCGCGCCGAGGCGACGCGAACCTACCGCCCTGCCGCCGACGGGTCCGAGGTGGCCGCCGCCAGTGCCAGCCCGAGCGCGGCCAGCGCCTGCTCGAGGAGGAGGAGGAGGAGGAGGAGGAAGAGGAGGAGGAGGAGGAGGAGAAGGAGCAATCGAGCGAGGGAGGGAGGGAGAAGGGGAGAGAGAGGGGAAGGGGAGGGAGGGAGGACATGAGGGGAGAGAGAGGGCAGGGAGGGAGGAGGGAGGGAGGGAAGAGAGGATGAGGAGGAAGAGGAGGAGGGGGGAGGAGGAGGAGGAGGAGGAGGAGAGGAGGAGGAGGAGAGGAGGAGAGGAGGAGGAGGGGAGGAGGAGGAGGAGGAGGAGGAGGAGGAAGAGGAGGAGGAGGCGGAGGAGGGGGAGTCGGAGTCGGAGTCGGTTGCCTGGGCAGCTGTCCGCAATGTTCTCTGAAAGCCTGGGCTGCTGGCGCGCTACAAAGGCGTTGCGAAGAAGGTCGCCTACGGGACGCGTGGCTTTAGGCCTGTTGGCCTGCTGCAGCGCAAGGCCTGCCCGACGGAAAAAAACAATAACATGGTTACGTATCGCCGGCGGGGGCTTAAGACCTTTGGCCGATCGCCCCCGACTCTGGTCATTTGCCCGCACTCGGCCTTCGGCGCAAAGGCAGCCTGCTACCGCTCCCCCGCCCATCCCCACCACCCACTCGCCCCACCCGATCCACTATCTAACAGGTCTCTACTGCATGTTTGCAGACTTCCCAAGGCCCAATTGGGGCAACGGGATTGCAGCAAACAGAAAGCTCCATACAGGCACATCCCAGGGGGGAGGAGAAGAGGCCGAGACCAGGAACACGGAGGAGGGAGGGGTTCTGGAAAACGCGCCCGAGCAGCGCGGCCACGAACACGTCTAAGATGCTCATTTAGGCAACTATCTTCGCGGCCGCAGTATCCGCACGTGTACAAGGGCTTCTCTTCTGGCTGACAACTGAATGAAGTGGCGCGAGCGGGACACAGCAACGGACCTGACTTGGACATAGTGACCACATGCCTCAAGCACGACGCACGGCTAGCGACAGCTGTTCTACACCATGGGCACACATTCGTCTGTGCAACCATGGAGTGCAAATTCCTCATGTTGTGGGCGTGGGTGACGCGCGCCGCGAGTGCCTTGACCGTCGCGAAAGACATCCCGCATCCCTTCCCCTCGCCCTCCTCTCACACCTCGCGCGCGCGCACTCGTCCATGATGATGCTGCCGTCGCTGGTTGCGTCGTCGCCGCCCTCGTGATCAGACATCCCCAAGGTACTGCCGTTCGTCGCCGCGAGACCTATTCGAGCTAGAAGTTGTTGAGCTCGCTGGGCCCCGTCCCGACTCAGGAAGAGCCCAATGGAACCCACGTGGATCCCGCCGAACAGTTCCCCCGCCTCTGGATCCTGAAAGCCCTGCCAGGCGCTGTGCCTGTTCTCCCAGATCTGGTCAAACCCCGCGTCTACATTCGCCAGTGCCTCCAGGTCGCCTCTGAGTTGGCGCGCCCCGGATGCGCTGTGCTCCGTGAGCCCGCCCGTGGCCCCTAACCTGGGTTGTTCGATAAGTCGGTCCAACTCCAGAGCCCCAAAGATTGCGGCAAGGACTTGGCGATTCTCCTGCGGTTCTCTCGCAATCTGCTGCCGCCGCCGCAGTCCCAAAATGTTCGGTTCGGTTGCCGTGCGACTTACTCTCCAGTGTGTAATACTGCGTTGTTAGTGGGGGTCCTGGCTCGACCGTCGCATTCGGTCTTGGCCTTGCCGTGCACCAGGAAGCGCAGCACGCACGCCAGCACGGAGTCTAGCTTGTCTGCGAACGCCTCGGGCAAGACAAACGCTGCGAGGCCTGCGACCGCAGCGCACTACACGAAACAAAGGAAGAGCGCGCGGAAGAGGCGCGGGTGCAGCGGTTGCCGCCATACTTCGCCTAGCGATCTCCGAGCTGCTCGGGATCCTTTGATGCGGTTATGTAATTCTGTTCCCATTACACCATCGAAGCTCAAAGTCGGTCCCAGGACGCGGACTTCCCGACGCACTACGCCCTGGACTCGACTTTGTCTGCCCACCTCCCCGCGCCGCCTCAAAGGATCCCTGGCACGCGAAATTGACGAGGTGGTTCGTCTTATCTGGGATCAAAAAGTGACCGTGCTGATGTATGAATCTCTGCAAAGTCACTGCGGCATGATTCAGCTGCGGCGCGATGTACGTAGCGTTGGGAACATATGCATGAATACGCATGCGCGATGCGTCGCCCACGAAGAGGCCGACGCCTACATGTACCTCCGCCCGCGAAACTGTGCACAGACCACGGAGCCAGCAGTAGCTAACGTCCTCGGCCGCCAGTCGGTTGGTCCACGCCTCAACCGTTGGTGAATAAATGTCAACGAAATCTCCTGCCGCTAGCGAATGGCCCATCGTGGCCCCCGCGGTCGGATGGTAGTCGGCCACGCCGTCGTGTGCTTCGACATGTACTGTTGCTTTCTGCGCTGCTTGCTCTAAAAGGAGGATGTTATCCTGCCGTGCTGTGTTTGCGCGATCATCATCCAATCTGCTGCGCTTTGTGCGTGCAAATGCGTTGGCGCCGTCGCAATTGATCAACGCGTGGCTGAGCTCTGCCTGTCGGCATCTCCAGAGCCCCGCGGACACTCAGCATGCACCCTTCCCGTCGACGTCCCCGCATCCCTCCGCGCACGAAGTCTGGGGGTGGTGGTCTCCGAGAAGCCCCCTGAAGCTGCCCGAAGTAAGACGCCCCAGAAGCGTCGAAGCAGTGGAGCACCCGTCGGCCCTTGAATCCCATCTTGTCGTTGTTCTTACTCTGCGCGAAAGACTGGGGCCTGATGGTGCTCAGCGGGGCCTTTCCTACGATCCTGATCAACGCCAAAAGGTCATTGTAACGCCTGCTGAAATTCTCTGGCACAAACTTCCGACCATTCTCGTCGTCGCAACGTTCCGGGCCAATGCACATGCACGGCCCCTCTCTACGTTTGGCCCCATGATGGCCCCTCTCTACGTTTGGGTGCTCTTCGAGGGTATCGCACCTGCCCTGAACGGGTTTTTGGTCAGCGGGTCGAGAGCGGGCCTCTTCCGTTTAAGAGCTAGGCGGGGCGCGCGAAGCACTAATTGGGGGGACAGGGCGCGGGCGGGCGGGGCCTCGGGCGGCCGGAGAGCGCGGAGCACAAGCGGCGCCGAAGAGCTTGCAAAGGAAAAGGTACGCCTTGGTCAGGAACCGGGGGCGAAGTCCCGGAGGGAGAGCGAAGTGGCGCCGCCGTCAACGGCGTGCCAGAATCACCATCCTCGAGTGCTGCGCGGGGAGCGCCGTGACCAGGTCAACGCCCGCGAGGTAGAGGAAGACCAGGCAGGCGAAGTGCACCAGGTGCCACCGACTGGCAACGAGAGGCCCAAGAGACGAGGATGACCACGAAGGCGATGTGCAACGCTGCGCCACCGGGTGGTCGGTAGCGGCCTGGCCTGCCCTGCGCAGGCCGCCCCGAATCAGATCTCCGAGCGCTTCGTGCTCATGCAAGTGAGGTAAGAAAGCCCGATCTTCTGTCCATGCCTGCCAGTCAATCTTGTCGCACGCCAGTCCTCCGTCCTGCGGAGTTTGTGCCAGACCGTCTGTCTAGTGCTGCATCGTCATGCCCTGTCTTGGTGATTATTGGGCCCTCGGCCCGCGTTGGCGAGCATGACGCGAAGACGATGAAGTTCTGAAAATCTGCGATGTTCCCACGCTTGGTCTACCGCCTCGACTAGCTTCTCCATTTTTGTCTGCTTCTGGTGGCGACGAAGTTGCTGCAGACGTCGCGATAGCTTCTTGGGCTTTGCCACTATTATGTCGAACTGCGTGAAGCCATCCCCGCAGTAAGCCTTGCTTCCTGTGGCTGCGATCTCGGGGCGCAGCCTCGACCACTCCAGGAGCAGCTCGATTCTCTTGCTACGCATGTATTCGTAATCTATAATGTTGACGCTATTATTCGGGTATGTCTCCTGCATGGCACTGCGTATTGCTTCCGATAGTTTGTCCCGCCATCCTTGCACATTACCATGGTCCCAGGCAGCGCGCCATTCTTCTTCGCTGATGTCCGTGACCCTGCTCTCCACTGCCCTCAAGAACTCGATGCGTCAGAAGCCCGTGCTGTACGCTGTCATCATGGCGTCCCTGTTGGCAGCTGGCGTGAGGGTACTTGTCCGTGCTCTTGCGATGGAGATGTCCAGAGTCACATACACGGGCACGTGGTCGTGCCAATGCGTTGTGGTGTGACGCTGCTGCTGCGTCGAGCCAGTCCTGAGAGCAGGTGGAGTTGTCGTACTCGTGGACTTGCTGTGATCGGCATCACGTAATGGTCAATCTTGCTCTTGTGCATGCCTTTGTAGTAGGTCGGCCCGCTGTGCAAGTAGATGTCCACCACCGTCATGTGATTGCTCTCCAATAAATCTCTGACCAGTTTGCTGGTGTGGCCTTCTGGCGCTGGCTCGACGATCCCCACGTACTCGTTCTCTTGCAATATTCTGCGGCCTGTGATGTCCGTATGCCACCCGAACGAGCAGTTAAAATCCCCCGTTACTATCTGTTTGTCGATATCGCTTTTTATTAACTGCAGGATGCGGTGGCTCAGCTTCTTGTGCGTGTTCACAGCCAGTCTTTTGGGCGGGAGGTAGACTGGGAAGACAGCCGTCGCAATTGTGCCTATTGTGAACACCGTCATTGCCACGCGGCCTGTGATGCCCATCGACCTGGGAGGTACTGCCACCCGCTGCACATTCCCTAGAAGGCGTGGTCCAAATAGCACCGCTAGCCCGCAAGAGTTGTTGGTTCCATATGATTTGCGCTACCCAAATTGAATGCAGCCGTGGTGCGGCAGGTGACTCTTGGCTGAAATATGATTATTATATGGCTGCGCGGC